CAGACATTTTTCTTTTGGTTTTTCCTTCTTTTAATACACAGTATAAAATGTCAAAAAATTTATAAAATGTACTGTAAAATGTACTTTTTTCTGGTATGACTACATCTTAATGCCATATTTGTCATAGTTTATCATAAGATAGTCTTTGGTAGACTGTAAACATTGGTTTTATTGGTTCTGTGCAGGACTGTTTTGTTTAATTGTGCAACTTTAAATATAAGCAAGCAAAGATCACACATGGGGATCTATTTCCAAGCCACTTTTATTAGATATATTCCAACAGCTGGTTTCCATGCTCCTTATCTATGGAAAAAAGTTTCTAAAGATCTAAAAACTTTATTGTTCACATTAGTTTTCATATAAAGGTCAAAAGTCACTTTATCCGTTAATTTTCATCATTTGTTTCATCATTATCATGACTTACCTTTTTATTTGCTTTAAATATGTATTTAAAAATGTTGTTTAATATGATGCCTAAAATTTTCTGACTTTTTTTTGTTCTTAGTGTAAATTTATTGTTCTTATATTTTCCCTTAAAGCATGTTTAAATTACCTTCAGAGCGCCTGATAGACATATAAACTTAAGCTAAAAATATAATAATGATAACACTGCAATTAATAAGAATGTTTTTCTAGTGATCTGATAATTGTTGAGTAGTCTGCCCTAGAGCAGCGCTCATACCTGCAAGCACCTAAACCCACTGTATGCAACAATGTGCACATTCACATGCCACAGACAGCAATTTGCTTCTCTCATTCCCCACCACACCCTGCTTGCGTTCTCAGCCACCTGCAAAACAAACTGCGCTGGAAGCCTCACTACAAATTAGCTTGTGTCTGCCAAATCCCCTAGGAGCACCGGAATACAAAACCCTGGATCTCCCCGCCCCCATAGAGACAACCCTCAGAGCCTCAGACAGTATATACTGAAAACATCTAAGCTTATATACCAACAAAGCCTTTTTTTTCTTGACTTGATTCCTTTCTGTATACACTTTGGGGTATAACCAAGAGGTAAAAGACAGAAGGAGAACCATTTTATTAAAAGGTGTTTTTATTTTAAAAGAATCCATGGGGACAAATACACAAAAAACATAAAAGTTTGCCATCATGAACACCACATGCCTCTGTTGGTTGCAAGTCAACATGACACTGTGAAACTTAGCCCCAATCCCTCCTAAGAAAGAGTGAAAACTGAGACCTGTTTCACTTCATGGGAAAATCAAAGGAAGGCACATACCTTAACAGTGAATAATGATCATCATAAACCCAGCCAATGTAATTTTTTGTGTGACAACGCCTCCTTGTGATGGGTTTTTGTAAGTTCAGCCAGTCAAAAAATGTCTGAGCAAGGGAGGGAGGGAGTCAATGGCCGATGTGCCAGAAAGATGAGTGCTGAAAGCTCCTTGGAAAAAGGATTAGGGGTGTTTATATTGGCCAAGTGGCCCACTGCCAGCTGCTCAAGTGTTCAAACTTCTTAAAGCTGCAGAGCTAGGGTTTGGCCATGACTCTTTTCACTCTCCTCTGTGACTGTATAGTTGTGCTTTGTTAAAGAGAAGGATCTGCTCTAGTTTGACCCCCCACCTCTGTAAAGAACTCTTAAAAAAACAGTGCTGGATTTGACCTCAGCTTCCGGCTCCCTGCCGGCCACTATGTATGAACTTTGATAAACTCACTATACATTTGCTTATATTCACCCTAAATACACAAGCAAAATTACCCTTTTTAAAAATAAATATCAGCAGCAGAATAAGTTCAGTCTGCGAGCTGCCTTAGAACCAGAGCTCCGGGGCCTGGAGCTAAATCAGAGCTGGGTTTGAGAGCTGCAGTTATGAAATGGGTTCAGAGGTCAAGGAATAATAAGAGGAAGCCTCAGCAGCTGAACAGATTTTTTTTGTTCCTTTTTCCTTGGAAGCAGAAGTAGACTCTAGTATTCCTGTTTATAGTAGTGCACTCTATCATGCATATTTAGCAGCTGAAAGCAAATTTAACATAAAAATTCACATTTCTCAACCTGACCAACGTTCTACATCCAATAGCAAAACTGAATATCTCTGCAGACCATGCTTTGATTTTCAACAAAGAAACCTTTAGTTCTCTATTTATTTAGCGTCCTTGCAAACTGAGTGTTGACTTGTACAACTTCAATTTTGAAAAGGGGCTGTAACAGATGAGGCTACTTTTATAAATGGCCTTTGCTCATAAAGCACTTTACACAATATTCTGTCATCCCCCATTCATGCACACATTTACAAACCAACATTGGTAAGCTGTACTGTACTGACAGAAGTGATACTGCCATACATTGACATACATACACTAAGAAGACTAGGCTTCTGAATACCAACAGCAGGTGATAAGTCAGGTAAAGTGTCTTACCAAAGGACATGAGATGGAGTGGGAAACTTGTAGGCACTAATAAAACAACAACCTATAAATGTCTACGTGTGTAATTCTGATACATTTAAAGATAGATTCTTCAATAAATTTAATTAAATTTAAGTGATTTTATTGTCCCTAATAGGAAATTTTTGTAAAGACAGGTCTTCAAAGAAATACCTGCCAGTGCAAATCCTGCATAATTTAGAAAGGAATATATTAGATATAAAGAAAAAAAAAAACTAGAAATATTATTTGAGGATCACAATATCAAGATTGCAGTTGAACTTAAATGACTATTCAAAGTATTTGCAAGTAGGATTAAGAATTAAGCTATATTAGTACATATTATAATTTGGCTCACTATAGTTTATAACCAGCAAAAAAATTGCTACCCTAAATCATACCTTTTCACTGTAAAACTTTACAGTTGTCATGAAGAAATGTGGATTGTGTGCCTCTCCACTCTTCCGACAGACACTGGGACCTTGATTTCAAAGTGAAATCTGCACTTTCTTTTTCTCCTAAGCAAATTTTTGGTGCTTCTGACAAAATGTCTGAGGTTAAGGAGTGTCTTTACAGGAAGAACGGAACGCTTGTAGCCGATGTGTAGAGCTAATCAGTGCCTTGTGGCTCTCGATGAGCTTTCACCTTGTGATTATCGCCCATATATTTTTTTCTCTCTTTGACAATGAAATAGTCTTAAATTATTTCCACGTATCCAATGAATCTATTTTGATACACTATCTTAAATTGTTTGTGTCCTTTCAACTGTTCCCATAATCACAAGTCGTTGCGTCAACTCATTACGACTTCACAGACTTAGCAAAGGGTTTAAGTTGAACACCCTTCTTGATGCAAAGGGGATTCAAACCCAGGTACCTCACAATACAATAAATGAAACTTTTTAAATTATTCAATTTTTTTTTTTTAAGCTATTTTAACCTTAAGACTATTCCAAAAACGCTAGACAAAGCTTTGTGGCCTAAAGCAGCGGTATAATTCGAGGGCTAAACCTACATTTTAATATGCTGCCAGAAATATACAAGACTTAATTTGCTGTCAAAAATCCCAAATTACTTCTCACAGATTTAATTATAGATTATTTCACAAGTTAAGTAAGTTCAAAACTAGCATAATGATACTTTAAAATGCCTATGATATGTATTCAGAGGCATTTCTGAAGAATCCTAGATATCCGGGGGCAATGGTTGCCTCAGGAGGTGTCTGTTGTCCGGCAGCCCTGACTCAGTCCTTCTCAGTCATGGTGTCCTTGAGTAAGACACTACTTCCGCCTTGATGGACAGAGGGCCCAGAGGGGCAGATTGTGTTGCAGCCTCAGCTCGACCGAAGCTTACCACCGGCTGCATGTATGAATGGATGAATGACTGATTGTGGCTCTTTGGGGTCTTAAGACTTGATAAAGTACAGGCCATTTACCATCACAGGTCATTAAACAGTGGAAGAAAATATATTTTAACAGTGGAATAGCAGCAGGTTAAAAATCTTATCAGAGTTCATTTTTCACAGTGTAAAATTTAAAAATGATTATTAAATTCCCCCTCCACTTACGCTACTTTTAAAGCCAAATTTTTTAACACCCAAAAACAGGAAAAGGTCACTCAGAATAGTTTCCAACATTACTGGCATGACAAGATCTAACTAGAGATGTCCCCTATAAGGCGAAGTGGAAGGTTGAAGCCGGACCACCACGTAACAGCACATATCTGGGGTCTGTATGGCTGGTTTAGTACGAAGCACAAAGATCCACTCTGACTTAAAACAGTTGTTGGTATAACTGAAAATGGGTTAGACCCTTTTTTAATTTTAAAGAATGAATCAAAAGCAGGAAAGTGACTCTGTGAATGGAAAACTTGTCACTGTTATTGACAAGATTGATAAATATATATATATATTTTTTCTAATGTCAAAAATGAATGTCAATTTCTCTTTGTATTTCATCCTAAAAGAAATGAACAGGCATGATTGGAATATTGATATTATTCTGCTCAATAACTGTGCATACATAGACAACACATCAGTCTTACTCTCCTATTACTCAAATGTGGGGTTTATAAACATTTTGGATTTCTGAATGTACTGCAGCTGATCACAAATTCAATAAATCATAAATGCAATCTTGCCTAATAATCTTTTAGATTTTTTCTGTTATTTTAAGGGCTCTTAATTTATTTTAATGATAAAGTTTAAAAAAAGAAAACAAGGCTTTATCCAAAACTCATAAAATGGCAGAGCTTCAGCTTCAAATGGTTAAAGTTCTGTAAAGAAATTCTTAATTAGGACCTTGTGGTAATGGATTATGAATTGGTAATTGAACAAAACAAAACTGTTTATTTGTAATGGTTCTAGTTAAATATTAGTAATTTAGTTAAAAAATAAAATTGAACAAACAAAGTTACCTCTCAGAAGAGTGAATTTTAATAAAACAGAATAGTTCTTTAATACAATGACTGTTTTCAGTCTTATAACATAGGGGTAAAACAAATATATCTTGATCAAGAGATTACTGAAATAATCATCAACAAATTTATTAATTAAATTCTTATTAACTACAATAACTGCAAAACATGCAACAAAAGAAGACTCACCAAGACAATTAATTAAGGCAAAATCATTAAATATTTATTACATTTTGTGTTTTAAAACAATGTAATTATGCTTTATCCAAAACTCCTACAGTGGCATAACTTTAGCTTCACCTGGTTCAAATTATGTAAAGAAATTCTTAATTAGCACCTTGTGGTAATGAATTATGAATCATAACAAATCCCAAAACTAACCAAATAGCAAAACTAATAATTTATTGCGGCTCCATTGCTGAATATTAGTTCTAGTGTTTTAATATGTGCTATCCAGTCATACTATCATGTCAGATAAAATTTTACAGACACCGACTTTCCATTTGAATTTAATTTGGAGCGTGCAGAAATAAATATAAACTTTCACACTAGTCAGTTTTCATGTAAAATTAGCTGACGATTTGACTTATTTGAGATGTCGTACGTTTAGCAGCATTCTTACAATGAAACACTTCAGAAATTAGAAAGTAAACAAACCAGTGAACCTGAGCATCTTTTTACAATGGAGTTTAACTATACATAAACAAAACTGTAAAAACTCTGAGCATTAAATGTAAGATAGTGTAAATGAGGTAAGTATACCGCATTGCTTCGCTGCTGTAAACAAACCCTTTTGGCAGTCAGGCTGATAAATAAGGCACAAGGTCCGAAGTATGACTACAAACAGGTAACCTAAAATCTCTGATAAATACAGTTCAACCATGCATGGTTCAGACAACTGAACAAAAACAGAAAGTTTTGCTTCTCAGAAAAAACTATTGTACTTTACTTAAAAACAAAAAAAAAGATATATTTCCATTTATATATATCCATAACTATGACATAAAGCTGTATGAACTAATCAAGGTTCATGGTTGTAGATAGCTCTGAAACAATATTTGTAGTTTTGCTTTCATTTCAGATTTAAAAGAAAACCATAGTTAATACAATTAACTAAGGTCATTTATACATGAAAAAAGATGTTTCCAGTAATCATTACTTCTTTTGGGGGGGTGGGCTCAATTTTAAAAGCCACATAATGCCCAATTAGTGCTAAACTAGTTATGTTTTTGCTTGAAGGCGGTTGTTGCCAAAGGTGACATCATCAGTTATTAAGATACTGGGTTTAATGACATCTTTTATAACTGTGCCAGGTTTATTTGGAAAGCTTTTTTCTTTGGTAAATTGTTTAAAAAAACTGTGTTCTGTTTGTACTTGCACAGGGTGTCTGTTTGTGACAATATAGTCATTTTATAAATCTGAAAAACAACTTACAGAAAAGAAAAAATTAAATAAGAAATCTGTATTGCGTAAACACTGCACAGCAAATTTTCATTATGGCCTTCTAACTACTATAAATATTATTGATTCTGCTGACAAATATTTCCTTTAGCAAAAATATTGAGCAGTTTAGATACAGTTTGATTCTCACCTAGCCATAATACCAAAACTAAATATTAATGTTTTTAGATCCGTCTTCTCCTACTTTATCCAGGATCATGTAAACGTTCTGCTTGTTTTGTAACCAGGAGCGTCAGTGTTGTGTTTGAGGAGATGGTCGACTGAGAAACAGTGGAGGATGCCTCTCTGTTATTCCTAGTTTTGAAGTAAATGAAATAAAATAATGGCAGGGCAATCCCTATGAGCAGCACAGCTATTAAGGCGTTCCACCACTGGATACCCCAGTCTGCGCCATGACTCATTGCGCGTCGTCTTCCAAAACCGTACCTTGTCCATCTGCCTGTGTTCCCGGAGAAATCTTCTCTGTGGTCAGGTGTGGTTTGAATCAGCCTTTCTATATCATTGTCTACCTCCATTAGAAACTCTGAGGCTTCCTGCAGATGTGGCTCAACTGGAGCTCTATCATGCGGCCCAACTACTGATGGAGAGAGATGAGGCTCTTCTTCTTGGGTGTTCCCTCTGTCTGAGAGTGTTTCTGTCATAAAGCTGTGCTTCTGAACTGGTATTTTGATGAATTTCAGTGCAAACAAATCTTGTTCTTGAAAAAGGTTGTTTACCCGCTTTATATCCGCAACCTGTGGATAGAGAGAATAAATGTTGAGCCTCCTTAGTGATGAAAGCTGCAACGTTTCCTTTTTTTTCTTACCTTGCAGCCATATTGAAGAGCAAGCTTGTTGAGGGTATCACCATCCAAAACCTCATGCTCAAGCAGCTGGACATTCCTCTGGCTGTCTTGCTTACTCTGCCTTGTCTCCACAATGCTGAGTTCCTCGTCATCTGAGGATGCAGCCGATTCATTTGTCCTCCTCCTGAACATGTACACCTGCCCGTCTGCGCTGGCATGAACATCCACAGGCGCCTGGAAGGCCTGTTGCTCCCCCCTCCACATGATGACACATCAATCTGTGAATAAAAACACCTGAATCATAACAGTTGATGATTCAACTGATGCCTAAAGTAAATATTTGAACTTTTAAAGTTCTATTCTACTGAAAGAAATGTGTATTAAAATGGCTAAAACTATATAAAGAAAACAATGACCCGAGAAGGCAACTTCTAAGCAATATGGAAACTCAGGCTCATCTTGAAAAATTAAATTGTTTAGGTCTGAACTTGATCCTATAAAAACACATCCTAATTTCAGCTGACTCTGATAAAATACTGTCACTAGAATGGGTGCAACTGTGCTGCAGAGCCATTAGTATTTAGATTTATATCAGGAAGCTGATCCTAAGTAATAATGAGCTATAATCACTGGGTTTCTCACGCAAACAAGAATGCCATCATAGAGAAGGCAGGTAAAAGACTGGCCAAGTAAGCGAGTATGATTATTTAGAGGGGAGAAAATGAATGAGTAAGCTTGAGGGTTACCTAAAGAACACATCAGCAATTAAAGATCACTTAAGCCTAATAATTAAAACATAAAACCTAGTGCTTACATTATTACACTGTAATTACTTTTCACTAGAAGCATCTTATTTCCAGCTTACAGAGTGTATAAAAGGTCTACAGTTTCAGTCATTATCTCCTATGTGTTTAGAGTTTCTGATCAAATAGCAGTTAAAGTTCTTGGTTTTTTCTGGCTTTTTTGGTTTAGAGTCACTCACCACTGTTCAGTACCACACTTTTATCTTATTTACTGGGAAGAGTTGTAACATATTTACTAAAGGATTGTCTACAATTCCTGTTATTGGGGCAATGCTTCTTTTTTTATTTATTTTTGCAAAATGTCCAAGTTTAAGATTTAAACAAACTCTTTAGTCCCCTTAAGGCTTAAAATAAGGTTTTAAAATAGCAAATTGCGTAAAATAAGCACTTTCTGCTTTCAAGCAAAATGGAACCCTTGAAAATAAGATGAGGACAAACCTGCAGCTCATTTACAAAGCTGCTTTGTTTGGCTCTAAGAAGGGTTTTAAAATGGATATCAGCCAATAAGCTCCTTGGTTTAAAGTGAGCACATGGTTACTTATGAAGAAAAGTCCTAATTTTAACTCTCAGTGTACCAGGACTTTCTTAAAGCTTGCAACGTCGACCGGATTTCTGACCATACCCCCCTAACAACAGACTTCCACAGTTTGCTGCCTCTTGCTTATTTGTAAATTGGAAGATTCTGTCATATTTTCTAATAGGGTTCTTAAAATTTTTTTTGACTCTTGTTGTGCCATATGCCATGATCATACTTTTTGGACATTGGGAAGCAGTGTCCATATTTCATCCTGATAGGATGACCAGAGAAGAAAATGCAACTTTGGTGAATAACAGCTGGGGGACTTCTGCAGCCCCCCTTTTTCAGCCAAAGCAGTCACATGGAAGTCACAGAGGTGTGAAAACCTACCCCCCTCTGTGAGGGCAGAACAAAACCACAGAGCACACAGGATTCTTTCTCTTTTGCCTCTTCACTTTTTCTCCCTCGTCTGATCCAGCCTGCTTCTGCTCCTGCTCTCAAAGCTGGGGCCCACTGTGGCCCACAGTGGAGATGCAGGCCCCAGGGAAACCAGATCCCCAGAACCATCAAGGATGAGTCAGAACTCTTCAGAACCTAACTGCTGCAAACAGAACCTTTGCAACACATTTCTCTTGAGTTTCAGAACTTACAGAGCCAAACTGGATGAAGACCATGCCCTGGTGTGAGACTGAGGGGACCCCTGCTGTGAGACTGAGACAAAGAATCCCTGACTGCAGAGCTGCAAAACTGGATGAAACTCAAGCTTTCCAAACGGACATGGAAAAAGGTTTGCAGGTCTGGCATGATTAGGGACAGAACAAGCAATGTGTCTTCTGATGATGCTAATCATATCGTGCGTTTACTGCTCAGTAAAGACAACGCTAATTGATGCTAAAGAATGGACTGCATGCTACAGGAATATGAGTTGAGCTGTTGCTAAAGCTTAGACAAGCTTTATTCACTAAGGATTTAACACTGATAGAACATTAGTGTTCACGTGTTCCTCAAATGCTCATTACATTTCCATTGCCAAGTATGACCAAGAGTCATTTAGTGGAATCCCAATGTCTATTCGCTGCTAGCTATTTCAAAGAGGGTAAAGAATCATTTAGCTAAAGGTTATTGGTTCTTGATTAAGCAAATCATTCAATAGAACATTATTTGGCCAAATAATGTTTTATTCACCTCATGGATTTGCATTGTCAATTGGTCTGAAAACATTCCAATTTCTTTAAAATTAGTGAAAAGCTAATTTGATCACATTCCAAATTATTCCAGATAAACTTTGGTTTCAAACACAGAATCCATCTTAAACTGTAATATGTTTTTCAACGGTTTTCCCCTTCCTCTTTGTACATAGTAGTTAGTTTAGTTTAGTTGAGTTTTACTAGTCTTAGTTGAGAGTGTTAAACTGAAATATGTTTGACTTGGAGCTGAATGATTTTTGTTAATAAAATCTTATATTTTGAACAGAAGTTGTGGTGAATTTATTCCATGTATGTGCAGAAATAACTGTTTGACCATGATTAGTGCTCGAATCACTCTTTCATTTATTGTTCTAACACACGGTTAGTAGGACTGTGTGTCATAAACAGTATATAACAGCTGAAATAATATCTGATTAAATAAGATATTTTACCACCCCTACAGGGGAGGGCAATAAACATCTTAAAGTATCAGAAACATAAATTCCCAGCAGGCTGGGAATAGAATTTAACTATAGAATCACAACATAAATATGGCGTCCCTGATTGCTGGGCCCATTAATTGTAACATTTATTTAGCGTCCCATGCGACTGGGATCATTGAATGTAACATTTAATTGGTGTCTCAGTTTGGTGGTCATTGAATATAACAGTCATTCTGCACATATATGAGAATAAACCATTATTGAAAACCGTGTGAAAGCATTAACATCAGCTCTCACCACTCAATAATGAAATCTTAAAGTCACAACCTAAGAATCCAAAACTAAATGTCTTAGCTTATATGAGAAGAAAATATAACCTTTGACATTCTTGGAGCATCAAAATATAGAAAATTTAACTAAATCTAGTAACTCAAAAATATCTCTTCAGCTAGTGATAACCAACTTTACTTCAAAGCAAAACTCAGATGATTCAAATCAATCTGATCACTTTGGTCCAACTAAAACTAAAAGATTTAACTCCCAAGTTAATCTTATTGTTTGACCAAAATTTATGCACATCTATAACTAGATGCTGCCATTTGTGGTTTCTATAACCACATCCCAAAAATGAAAATTCCCAAGTTGTGCTATTTCAAAGTCACCTCCAGTCCAAAATAGGTTAGATGCCTCGAAATTTAACCTAAATCCCTTTGTCTATTAGTCTGATAAGACTCCTAAACACTTATTTTATATTGTGTAGAACAAGTTTTGTTGCCAGATTTAACGTAAGTTAATCTGTGGTCCTACCCGACCAAAAGGGGGTGGATTCAAATTAAATTGCTTTAAATCCCTTAAAGAAAGGTGAATCATAAGCTAAATTGCTAGTAAATCCTTAAAAAGGTAAGCTTTGCGCCAAACTGCTTATAAATCCTCAGAGACAGGTAAAGCATGCGCTAAAATAGCTAGTAAATCCTAAAACAAGGTATAGCATTTTTAACACTGAAAGAAAAGTGTTTCTTTGATATCACAGAAAAGGGTGAAGCATAAGCAAAATTGCTAGTAAATCCTTAAAAGGTAAGCTTTGCGCCAAACTGCTTATAAATCCTCAGAGACAGGTAAAGCATGCGCTAAAATAGCTGGTAAATCCTAAACAAGGTGTAGCATTTCTAACACTGAAAGAAAAGTGTTTCCTTGATATCACAGGTTTAAAGATAACCCGTGACCCGTTTCTACACACATAAAAATAAGTCCTTACAATATGTATATGTAAATATACAAATATAGTGGGTACTGACTGGATTGTGTTCTTTTGAAATTTCTTCATAACTTGTGTTTTTGTGCCATCAGCTGAAAATGGATCCAAGCATCCTAAATTCTGAGCACACCATTGACTCCATAGGCATAGAGAAACAGAAACAAATTGTTGCAAAGCTTATCCACTTATCTTCAGAAAAGCAGGATAACCTAAACAATTTTAACCTCAGCCTATGTGAAGAAAAGATTCAAGAATTAATTAACTTAATTCAAAACCCAAATGGAAACTTTCTGATAACAGATGTACTCTGTGAGCTCACGCTACTCTATCAGCTTAAATCCCAAATAAAAGCTAAACAGTACTCTGAGTTAGAAGCCAAATATCAGATGATCTGCCACAGAGTAAGTGCTGCAAACATTTTATTGTCAGGAGCTGACAAGATCAAAGACCCATGTGGCCAGACTGACCATGCCTCAGAACAAAAGGTGACCCCCCTCTCTGAGGACCTATGCAATAAACAAAGCAAGCAGACTTTGAATCAGCAGGAGGTCACCCCAGTCGAAAGGAGAACAGCTCCTGAAGCAGATACAAAGTCTCTAAACTCTGAGTTAACACTAAATAGATCTGAAGATGTTCAAAGTCAAAGTAGTGTCGCAGACAGAGAGAAACAAGTAGATCACTTGGTAAACTCAAGCGGTTTAAAATTTTGCAAAGGACAGCCATGCACACCATTCTCTCTCACACTCCGTTGACCGAGCATCAAGTGCCAAAGTTCACACCTTGAAAAACTCTGAGGAGAACCAGTCTCCATTGTGTCATCAAAGGTTAGCTCAAAACCCCCCACCACTTAATGAGCAGAACCAGCTTCCTGACGGGCCAGGTCCACCGAGTGACCATAGAATTCAACAAATTGAATCCTTGGCCAAAGACATTGATATTTTTGACCCAGAAAGTCAACACTCAAACATAATGGATTATCTGCAAGAAGTTGAGCACTGTCTAAAAGACTTGCCATTTCCTTCTTCTCGTGAGAAATTGAAGCTGATTTGGAAAACAACAGCTAGAAGCGTCCA